TTCCAAAAGGCACCAATTCAACTATAAAGTGATTATGCAATTGTTTTCTTAATCATCTTGGCATATTGCCAATTTGTAAGTATACACCACTCAAAGAATAATAGGTATTACAAAACATACCAAAATCATATAATATAAATCTAGGTAGAACTTGAGTATTGACATATTTTCTGGTGAATTAGGTGGTTGTGTGGTTTCTGATGGGTGTTTATGGTATAAATTTATTGGATGAAACTTCCACCTGCTATTATATTTGTATAAAATTTTATTTACAAAAAAGTCAATGACAGGTAGTTCAGGTTGGTCTTTAAGCCAAACATTAACATGATATATTAATAATAATAGGTCAATAATAAAAGATTCTAATTTCTCTACTAAATATCTTTTCTTTAGTGAGTATGATGAGTTTTGGTTTGAACATAGATATTGTAGAATTTGTTCATATAAGAATAATCTTTGAATTTAGAACACCATTTTTTTTATTATTAATAACAAAAGATCTAATTCGACCAATTTCTATAGAATTTGAAGTTGAATATTGAACAAAATTCCTACAATTAAATGAATCTAAATATATTAAATAAATTATATAGTATAATAAATTATTTGTGACTATGTATAGTGATATTAACTAAAGATTTGACTGCAAATAGCATAACAAATATAATATAAACATAAACCTTGTATGGTAACTAAATTTGGTTAGCCAAAGAGAGGTGATTCAGCTCTGAGATCACCTTTCCATAGTTCTTCACATGATTTTGAAAATACACCTAATCCAAAATACAATTATGAACTAAGGAAAGGATTTTTTAAGATACGTTGAAGGTGTTCAATTAAAGAGAAATAATAGACTCGAGCGAATTTTTTATAGTTGATGGTGTATTCTTGGTATTTATTGGAATAACATGGCTTTGAATTTTCATTAATAGTAATTGTTCATGTTGCTTTTTAAGAGTTTGTAAATTAGTGGTTAAATGTTTTGGATCGAATTGAGAGTTAATTAAGATTTGTATTAAGTCTCAGTAGGCTGCAATTGCTAAAGAGAAAACAAAATAAAATATTAAGTTTTTTAATGCATTCAATATCTTAAAAACTAGCAAATTAACTGCCACAGATGCATTTTATAATAAATATTAAAAAATATCTACAAATCATATATTTAGTAGCACATATAAATATTGCTAAATTTGTAAAATTTTTAAAGGGTCCTAATAGGCTTTTTTGATCCCAACTTATATCAAATTTTGTACCATCAAATGTTCTGAACAAATCATCTAAATTGGTCATTAATTCATTTTTTAGATCTGAGTTGTTGTCAAACTTCCAATTATATTCCATTTCATGTTCATTGTAATCTGAGTTGTTATTAAATTCTCAACTATATTCTATGTCATCGCTAAGCATAGAACTGAAATTTCAATCACTATTACTAAATTGTTGATTATCATCATCAGTATAAGTTTGGTTGCTAGTAAGCTCAAGTTGTTGAATATTGGTATATTCATAATCAAGTTGTTGATAATTATTACAAGGTTTTTTACTAGATTGAAGATTTATATCATTCAAATTGTGATTTGAGTTGGAAAAAGTAAAGTCACTAATATATGTTTTCTTTGAACATAAATATAAATCATGTGATTGATTTGGAGTATTTTTTTTAAATCTATTACAAAGAAAAAACATAATTTTAGAATTCAAGAAAGGTCTAAGATTTATTTTAAAAAAAATCAAAAAAGTTCGAAGTTTTATTTTTTTAAAAAAAAATAGAAAAACAATTTTGAATAACAAGAGATCAAAATATTAATTATATATATATGATTAAAATAATGATTATAATAATATTGATTAAATAATGATCTATTAATTTTTGACTAAATAATGACCTATTATATTGAAAATTAATTTTATATTTTTTAGCAAAAAATGAATTTGGTTTTTGCTAAAAAAAAAAAAAAGAGAGAAAACAAATATTATAGTAGAAAAAGCATAAGCATAATTTAAATATTATTATTAATAATCTATTAAATAGAAGGAACCCTTGATGTTATATAACTGATTCTTTACCCAGTGTGCAACATATAAAAAAATTATTTTATAGTATTGTTAGTAAATGTTATGATTATAATCCAACACCATTTTTACTATAATAAAATAGTGTTGGATTTAGTAATTTGAAATAATGAGATGAGCATAATGCAATAAGGGCAAACATAGCATAAGACTTAGTAAGTTTGGGATAAACATAGCATATGAGTTAGGTAAATTCAGGACATAGCATAAGAGTTTGGTAGATTTACAAAACTTAATATTAGTAGTTTTATAGCAGTTAGCATTAGTTTTTTAATATGTATTATATTATATATAGTTATATTCTTAATTTTAAAATTAATAAAATAAACTTAAAAATCCATCTCTATAAAAGATGTGATCATTATATATTCATAAAAAGCATTGCACGCATATGATATGTTATCGTTAGATGCATCTAGCCAATAGTGCTAAATATTAACTTTATTGAATGATTTTTATTGAGTATATCAGTGCGAATGATGCATAAGCTGAGATGGGATATGCTCCCGGGAACAACAACTATAATGTGCTAGGTATTACTATCATTAGTTGAATTTATAATGCATAGTACCAGCTGGTAGTCTCTTACACTGCATAATGCAGGCCAGCTTTTGATATAAAGTCTTAAGTTACTACAAAATAGCAGAATTCTGCATGGACTCCAAAAGTAGAGCAGAAGGGTCCAGGTGCAAATCTTACTTCTTGCAGCAGTAAGGGCCTGTTGCCTGTATCATGCTTATTCTTATATTGTTCTGCCAATGATCTATTATTAGTAATTGTATTAAACTCTAAATTAAGCAGTTAATTAAATTTATTATGTTTATCTGATTTTATATGTTTCTGATTTCATATGTTTCTGTTATCTACTCACTCAGCCAATGTTGCTGCTGTCTCTCAGGATCCAACTGGTTTGATTCCAGAATATCTCTGCTTAGCCAATTTTTTCGATCTGTTGACTCTACGTTAACTTGAATGAACTGAAATTAAAGTTTAGAACTAGTTTAAAACCAGTAATATATTAATATATCCTGATATATACATACATTTAAATAAATTTGATACAAATAAATATATAATTAATAAAAAACAAATTCATTTTATGTTATGTTAAAAAAAAATTATTATAATACTATTTATTCTATTCTTTTTTGACCCAGACCCCAAAAATTGACCAATCAAAATAGAAGATACTGTGAATAGTCATTATTTATAGTGTTTTTTATTTTGATTGGTTAATTTTTGGGTCAAATTATTTTAACTTGGGTCAAAATAGAACTTCTCTTTATTTTTACTTTAAATTTAACAAAAAATAAGTTCATTTTCTGTTAAATTTAGATAAACTATTGTTTTTTTTTAATTATTACTATTTATTACTATATAAAATCTACTAGCAAGTAAGTATAGTATTTATTGCCAATTAGAATTTTATACTAAATAATGCTAACTATTTTACTTTAATACAAGTTAGTATAAAGTTGATTACATATTTGTACTTTATTGTTAAATTAGAATTTATAATGATCAATCACATTAAATATCAGGAAGTAAGTATAAATTCATACATTCAATAAATTTTACATTGAATTTAGTGCTAAAAAGAAATTTATTAGCAGGATATAAGTTCGAATATATGTAGAATTTGTTAAAATATTTACGGCGTAATAATTAAAAAAATTCTGTATTTCACAAAATTATAGAAAACTTTATATAAATTAATTTGCAGAATTTGAGACAGTATATTGTGTAAATAAGTATAATTGAAAAAGCATAACTTTTAGAATACCATTTAGTATATCATTTAAGATTTTACACGCACCCTGACTGTATTTGTATATCATTCTATTTCACAGAGGTAAGTTATTCCTATTCTTATTTCTAAAATCAAATGTAACTAATTTTTATTAATTTTGTCTTTATATCTATTGATTATCATGTCTATTTGACTTTCTACTCAATTATACTACTTGTATGACATATAAAGACTTCTAAGTGAACACTTTATTGTGTAAATAGTATGGGTCAATTTTATTAGTCAATACAAATTATGTTATTGAAAGAATTATTTAGTATTTTATTGGTTGTTCAATTTTCGGAAGGCAGTCTAATGAGAGGGGAGATTATGTTAACCAAATATGAACAGCCTAATTGACCAATATATATTGTATTTAAGTTAAACCCTTTATATGCCTACTTGTCTTATATTTTTATTTTAATTAATTTAACAAAAAACAAATTTGTTTTTTGCCATTTTGATTAAAAGTATTAACTTAATTTTTTGAATTTAACAAAAAACGAATTCATTTTTTGTTAAAATTTAAAAAAATTAAATAATCAGTAATTTACTAATTTTAACAAAAAATGAATTCATTTTTTGTTAATACGTAATCTGTAAGAAGCTTCAATTACACAAATATAATTATACAAATATACCCGATATGTATAATTACAAATATATAATTATACAAAATTTTTAATTAAACTTTTTTATATAATTAATATAGTTATGATATTAAGAATTGTATATGTAGTATAAAGTCTAAGTTTAAAACATGCATAAATATAACATATAGTTATATAATTTTATCAATCAATTTCTTTAAATCATACCTTATTTTAATATGTATTTATTCTTATTAATTCTTTTATATATATATATATAAATTCATACTCTTTCTTCTTACTTTTGTTATAAATCATAAACAAAAACATTATGAGTAATTTTTTTTTTTTAGCAAAAACTGAATTCAGTTTTTGTTAAATTATTTAATGTTTTGTTTTAATTTAATTATTGTAATTAATAATTTTTTTAAATTTTTTTTTTAGCATGCTATAATAGTAACGTAATATGATATATATACTTACTGTCCTTGTACCATTCGGATGAACAAATTCAGCTAATTGGATTTACAAGAGATGAGGTCGTAATTATGTATTCAGATAAAACCAAAAGATCTTTTAATTTTCAAATTGTAGAATCAAGTGAAGATATGATGGATCTTAAAAGTGAGGCAGCTAACAAACTAGATATGGTACTTGAGGTTAGTGAAGTGCCTAGTCAAGGAAATGACAAATATAAAGTCAAATTTGATGAACTAAAGGTGTTATTGAATGAAGGTATAAATTAATTAATATAATATTCTATACTGTTTATATTTGCTAATATAACTAATTTATTTGTTGTTAAAAAGATGAAATTGAGCAGAATTTAGCTGATGATAATAATCAAAATTCAGAGAAGGAGGACAGTGAAAAAAGTAATGATAATAAAGAGGAGGCTAATATGATAGAGAATGACTACAAAGAGGAAGTTGATAAAAGGTATAAAGGAAAGATGAACTATGAAGCTGAAGAGGAAATCGATGAAATGTATAGAGGAGATATTGAAGAGACAGACTGAATAGATAGAGCGGAATTTGATGAAATAGAGGATGAAGAAACTAGTGTCATAGAAAAAAGGAGAAAGAAAAAAAGTAAATGCGAAACATCAAGAAATAGTGGTATGTATATAATAATAATTAAAAAAAAAAATAAAAAAAATCAAGAAAAAAAATTAAATAAAAAAATTAAATAAAAAATTAAATAAAAAAATTAAATAAAAAATTAAAAAAAAATTAATTAATTAATATAAATTTTTTTTTTTTAGAATTAATGATTAAAACTGCAAAACAAATTTTATCATCATGCAGTTTTGAGTCTACAAGATTTCAATGTATGGCGAAAGAATTTAATTTGAATATTGTAAATTGCAGTTTAGCACTAAGTGCAGTAGCACACAAATCCAATTTGAAAAAGATCGAAGTATTTTCCAAAAAGAGAAAAGCAGTATTAAAGAATAAAAATAGACAAATCACTTTCGAACTAGCAAATTATGAAGTAATTAAAGAAGTAGTCAATAATCTTGAATGGCCAAAATTTATACGTATAAACCAGGATAATAATAATCTGACAGACACTTTAGGTTTTTATGCTGAATATAAAAATTCTCCCAAAAATGGACTTTTAAATAGTAATAAGCTCAAAACAGCTAATTTATATCATGAGTTTCTTTTTTTGCAAAATAGATTGCCTGTAGTAGTTTCATTTTTTGATCCCAATTCTGGAATCAAAAAAATGGAGTACTACAGAAACATAATAGATTTTCTGAAAATAGTAATCCAACAAAGAAACTCTACCTATCCAGTCCAATTTGATACCTCATTAATCTGTGAAGCTCTCAAACTGAATCTATTTCAAGAACAAGAAATAACTCTGTTAATAGAAGAACAGGAAATACCTTCATTAATAGAAGAAGCTGGAAATATACAAGATGCAATCTTATTATTAAGAAGAGCATCAAGATTATCATCTAGTCTTAGTGTTAATCATTTTTTAAATTATAATACTGAAGTATCTAACCAAATATCAATATTCTCAACACTTATGACAACATGTTACTAATCAATTCATAAGGTTAATATTAGTTCATATCGTTCGGAGGTGACAAGACGCATGTCCTTAAGATTCTTATACGAATTTGAAGAAGCCTATATCTTCTTAAAGAGATGGGTTTCAAACTTTGTCACTAGATCTAAAGGCATGAAATTGGCAATGCAAGTGCATTCACCTTTAATCGATAAAACCTCAATTGAACAACTCTTTAAGATAAACTTAATGAAATCTAATCTGTTCAATATTAAACATATAGCCAATGAAAAAGAAAAAAAAAGAAAAAGAAGTATAAAATCAGATGAAATTTCAATAAACATTCCTGGATTTTCTGGCAAAATTTCATTAAGAAAACTTAACATATTTACTATAGCAGGCCCAAGATTAATGCAATTATTTAAAACATTAAATAACAATTGGACTACTTTAGACTTAGTCGATAATGTAACAATAACTTGGCTTGAGAACTTTTGCAAGAAAGAATGGACAGCTTTTATTAACCAAATCAAAGGTAATTTTATTAATATTAATATCCTATTAATATACTGTATAATAAATAAAATACTAATAATAATTTTTTTTTAGGTGATAGTTGAAAGACAAAAAAAAAAATCAATTACTTTTCTATGCACTTTATAATTTTGCTTTAAATAATATTTTGTAAATCAAAATATTTTCTGATTAATATACTCTATTATGACACTATCTTTTTTGCAAAAAACTTTTCTGATATTCATGTTGATTCACTTTTTGACACTTCAACTGCTCTATTCTTTTAAAACTTAGAATACATATATTTTAAAATTTAGTAATTTTATACTGTATTATTATAAATTTATTGTATATAGTCATGAAATTAAATTAGATAATTGCATGATAAAATTTTGCATTAATTTTGATTACATATTGATTAAATATAAATAACAACTTTTTTTAGTTATCTTCTCTTTAGAATTTTTGAATCTTTATACCAAAAATAGCACAAAAGTCAGATGCTTGTAAATATTGATATTTATTTTTATATAATAGGCTATATTGACTATTAACTTGAAAATTTCTCTTTTGTAGCTAAAAGAGTAGCAAGAAGCACAAAAGCAAAGGTTACACAACAAGTACAGAATATTTTAAGAACAAAAAAACTACGAACAACACATTAAACAAAGATTAAAGGTATACTAATGTTTTTTTATTTTTAATAAAACAAAATAGTTTCTTAAATTTGTAATAAAAAATAAGATTAATCTTTTAATTTTTCAAAAGAAAATGTTAATGTTAATTTAGAGACACAAGAATTACAAGAACTACTTCAAAATAATAGTGTCGAATCTTCAATATCTGCAACTAGTATCGAATCTTCAACATTAACAAATGCCACTAGATATCAATATAAAGTGTTGTTACAAAATAACTCACCTTCATCTCATCGACAACGCTCATACTCACCTTCATTTCATCAACAACGTTCACCCTCGCCTTCATCTCATCGACAACGTCTACTTTCAATCCATTGACAATGCTCACACTCACCTTCAACTCATTGACAATGCTCATGCTCACCTTCATCTCATCGACAATGCTCATGCTCACCTTCATCTCATCGACAATGCTCACGCTCACCTTCATCTCATCGATAACACTTACGCTCACCTTCATCTTATCGACAATGCTCACACTCACCTTCATCTCATTGACAATGCTTACCTTCAATTTATCAACAACAATGCTCATCTTCTATTTATCGACAACACTCACTTGCAATTGAATTAATTAAACCTAATGACTATATTGAGCAATATCAATGAATTAATATTGAAAACAGGCTCCAAAGATCTTTTTTTTAAACAATCTAATAAACGCTCGTATTTTCCATCTGCTAATATGAAGATAAATCTTCAGAAGATGAATATCTTAATTCTGTAATTTTTAAAGAACCATTATATTCTTTTTTAAATGTGCCAAATACAAATTATATTAATTCTCATTCATCTAGTAAATCAAAAAATGGTCTCTTTTTTTAAGACAAAACACAACTCCTTCAATAGTTAGAAACACGTAAGGATTTAGCATTACAGATATTAAATTTAAATAATAATAATAATATATTATCCAATAAGGTTAGTTATAATTATTTACTTTATTACTTTATATAATATAAAATTATAAAATTTATAATTATAATTTTTATATCAATATATAATAGAATTCTTCAAGTGATACTGATACACCTAATTTGGCAAAGCTTCTTGCTGAACAATTCACATTTTATTTTTGCAAACTAGAGTACCAACTAAAACAACTCATACTACATTAATAAAAACTGTTATTTTTAATATAGTTAATACATATTTAAAGTGAAATGAAGTTTCAGCTAAATTACAACAACCATTTGAAAATTTTCATAGTATTTACAATGATGAAATTGTTAAATTAGCAAGTCAATTAATTCGAAAAAAAAGTAATGATTATTTCTTTTTATTTTATTTATTATATATTAAAAAAACTACAAAATCTAATATTTAAAACTAATTAATTATAGAAATCTAAGTTTTAATGATATCAAACATTTCATTTCTGGATCAGTATGGGAAAAACCTCTTAAATGATATATTGATATACTTGACTACAATAGTTTTCAAGACAATCAAGATGAAGTTAATGCGTTAAAGATTTTTATAACCAAAAGTCTTCAAATACATGTTGAATATTTGATAGCTGAATCTAATGGAGAAAGACCTAATTATACTTCAATGGTTTTAAATCATATTAAAGAATTAGATAATATTACAATTAATTTACATTTCCTGCTATAAGTTATTATCAATATGCGAATCAGCTAGACTTAAAGAAAAAAAAGAAAATTTAAATTAATATAATGATTATATAGTTCTTTATATTAATTAATATAAATATTCATATATATGTTTTTATAAATTAAATATTTATTATATTATACTAATAAATACATTATATTATGCTAAAAAAATACATCATATTATATTTATAAATTGATTTTTATTACATAATTTATTGAATTTAAAAAACAAAATTTTTTGTAATTAATAGGTAACGTATTACTAATATTTTAATAATTTTGTATATAATAGATATCTAAAATTGCAAATATTACACTTATCAACTTTATTAAGTCCTATGAAATTTAACTTACTTTTCACAAAGTTATTGCACACCAGGATGACCCATTTAACAACCTTGCTGATCAACTTGCTCATAACCACCAAATATTACCCTACCTAACATTTTTAACTAACAACCCTTACAACCTCAACTATACACCTTTTATCGATGAATTCCCTATTAAAATTCCTATCCGACGCTCAATTCGAACTATATGCCAAGCCCATATTATATCACTCTGGACATCTCAACACTGCTTTCAACAATGGTCTACTATTGCATCTGACATTAACTGGGAAGCTACATGGCTCTATATCAACAACAATCAAAAAATTTCTAACTTTGCTTACAGCTTTCATTCATCTATTTTGAAAACTTTTCATGTTAAAATTCTTACAGATGAACTTCCTGTTTCTCACACTCTTCATAAACGCAACTCTTTATTTTCTTCCTCCTGTCACCAATGCAACCAAACCAGCTTCTCACTCCATTGGGCTATTTGCCCATCAACTCAAACAATCTATCACCTAATCTCTAACTCTCTTCAGAGCATCTTAAATACAACTAATCTTGACATGCCTGCCAATTTGGTTTCTGATTTAC